GATTGCATATTCCTTGAAAAGGATCTTTTTGTGTCTATTAATATAGGTGTTATTTGTTAAATATTCTGTAGGCATAAACCCTGATGCATGGGCAAAGGATATCTTATCTACGGATTACCAGCTGCTATGTCGGGACGGTACCAGAGCACCTGTCAGCAGGTGGAGGGAGTGCAACCTAGCCCGTGTTCCTGCTCGAGCGGTTATGGTGAGACCTGATGTGGACACTTCTCTTATTTACAAGACTCTGCATGAAGGACAGGTAGAGAAACATTTTATATATAGTTTATTTTCTTATTTTGTACCAATACCAATCAAGGCAGTAGTCTAGATAAAATAAAAAAACTTTACTGACTGTTTTTTCTAGTTTATAGAGATCAACCTTACTAGGTTACATAATACATAACTTAAATCACATAGACTTGACCAATTTTCATTGAATGTTGGATTCAGTACAGAAGAACTTACAGTTTCTCTAGATTTTATTTTAGTAAAGATAATGTTAAAGGATAGGAGCACTCTCAGATAAAGTGGATTTAGCCTTATTGCCTGGACCTAAAGTACCACCCTCCTCCATATGAATACTTCCGGAATCTTGCAGCTTTGGCCTGCTGCAATGTTTTTATCATGCTTGTAAAATATTTGCAACGTGCTTAATATTCTTCATGGAAAATTGCTTATGCTCTATCAGACAACATAGCGCTGTTCGTTTTCGTTGTCTTAACTGGAGTGGGGTTTAGTTGATTGAGTCATTGCAAGACATTTGGCGAAGCTACACTGCTACCCCAATCTCTTACAGAAAGAAACTTTTAGAATTACCATGTATTTGGATTCATCCATCTTGCACCAGTCTCGACTACTTTCTCAGTCCCTAGCATTGAAAAGAATCCCCACTAATTAATTTTACCACTCCCAAGCTTCAGTGTAGGCATGGTATTCTTAGGGTGAAAACCTGTGTTGGCATTGCACCACACAGAGGGGCCTTTGGCTGTGATCAGATCATACTATTGCTTTTTAAATGAAACCCATAGTGTTTTATACTATAACAAAAAAAATCAGTGTTGTTTTTATCAAACCAAAAAACCCTTTTGAACATTTTCTTTATCTCTCAGTGGTGAAATAAGATTTAATATGTTTATTTTTGCAGTAATTGCTCACTTTTTTCACTTTCCAGTATTGTGCAGAGTTTGAGTTATATGAAGGTTACCCATGAATGGTTTCTTATTTTTCAGTTGTGGATCTCTGCAGCTCACTAAGCTTTACCTTTGGCCTTGTGGCTGCTTATCAGGCTAATGCCCTACTTACACAATCACTGAGTTTTGCAGACAGCTTTTTCTAAACAGTTGTAATTTTTCAATATTCTTACAAGTTTTTTTAAAGAGTTTAACAGTGCTCTGGGGAGAGTTCAGAATGCGGAATATGTTTTGATGCTCTATTCCCCTCTATGCATATGTGTTATAATCCATGTTAGTGCAAGCACATAGCAGAATGTGTATACTCATAATTAAGAATACTTGTTGCAGTCACTGAAAAAATAAGGCTGATACATCTTCTGGTGTAGTCACTGGAAAAATAAGGCTGATACATCTTCTGGTGTAGTCACTGGAAAAATAAGGCTGATACATCTTCTGGTGTAGTCACTGGAAAAATAAGGCTGATACATCTTCTGGTGTAGTCACTGGAAAAATAAGGCTGATACATCTTCTGGTGTAGTCACTGGAAAAATAAGGCTGATACATCTTCTGGTGTAGTCACTGGAAAAATAAGGCTGGTGTATCTTCTGGTGCAGTCACTGGAAAAATAAGGCTGATACATCTTCTGGTGTAGTCACTGGAAAAATAAGGCTGGTATATCTTCTGGTGTAGTCACTGGAAAAATAAGGCTGGTGTATCTTCTGGTGCAGTAACTGAAAAAATTAGGCTTGTGCATCGTCCGGTGTAGTCCCTGGAAAACTAATGCAGGTGTATCTTCTGGTATAGTCATTGGAAAAATAAGCCTGGTGAATCTTCTGGTGCAGTCACTGGAAAAATAAGGCTGGTACATATTCTGGTGTATCTTCTGGTGCATCTTCTGTAACCCTGTAAAAATAAGGCTAGGCTTGGTGGAGCATCGTCCGGTGTAATCCCTGTAAAAATAAGGCTGGAAAAATAATGCAGGCTGGTACATCTTCTGGTGTAATCCCTGTAAAAATAAGGCTCATCTTCTGGTGTAAAAAATAAGGCTGGTGCATCTTCTGGTGGTCCCTGTAAAAATAAGGCTGGTGCATCTTCTGGTGGAGTCACTGTAAAAATAAGGCTGGTACATCTTCTGGTGTAATCCCTGTAAAAATAAGGCTGGTACATCTTCTGGTGTAATCCCTGTAAAAATAAGGCTGGTGCATCTTCTGGTGGAGTCACTGGAAAAATAAGGCTGGTGCATCTTCTGGTGCATTGAAGGCCTTTTAAAAATGAATAAGCATTGCATGGCACCATATGTTGATGCATCAAAAGAGTGGGTCAATGTGTGTGCACAAAAATGCCCACGTATGTTCGAGTAAAGCCTAATAATTCAATCTTGATTGGTGCTTCATCAGATTTGTATTCCAAAATCTGTTTGGTCTTCATGGTGCTGTTTGTTGTCTTTTTTTAATATAAATTATTGCTATTAAATTTTTACAAAAGTACAAGACATGGCCATCTGGGCATTCCCTGGTCGTAGGTACTGTACAACAAGGTGAACAACTACACAACTCAGTGGTGAAACATAATAACGGTGGTGCTGCTTGTTTAAATGTGTCTGCTAACAAATTATGTGACTTTCTACAAAAACACATAAGTTGAGCTTTTTAACTGCACATAGGTGGATCCCTTACAAGTAATCATGTGGCTTCTAGATGCAACTGATTGCACCAGAGTTTATTTAGGTGTCCTTTTAAATGGTAAATGACCGCTGCTCAGTTCTCCGGCATTTTCAGAGGAGAGAGTTCTCTGAATGCCTTTTTATGAAGTGGTGTAAATCGCTTCTCCGAATGAAGGAAGAAGCGATCTACAGATGCTTTGAACGATGGAAAACGGCTGCTGTTACTATAATCTCGCGAGATTACAGTAAGTAAGCAGCGGTAAATTACTGCTGCTTCGTTTGCAGTTCCTCTGATTCTCCAGCTCTGAGCTGGAGAATCTGGAGGGAGAACACAGATCGCCAGTGAAGGGCTGACATCGCTCCTTCATATACTGGCCATCTGTGTGCTGAGAGGATCAGCGGAGAACATGTTCTCTGCTGATCATCTCTGTTTCCTAAACTACTAATGATCGGAGTTCAGCAACGATCCTCAGGATTGTCACTGATCTCTGTTTCATAAAAGGACACCTTAGTGGTTATGTGGCAAAGACAAAGTGAATAAATGCAATCAGGCTTTTTATTTGTAATTTAATTGGAAAAATGTGTACATTTTTCCATTCCAACCTTATTTACTAATTTGTGTAACTATGTGAAATTAAAATCTTCAATAATTTTTTGGAATTTTATGCGTCCATGGGTAAATACTTTTGAAACCTATGAATACTTATATGTAACAGAAAAAAAACATATTTTTTTTTTATAGTTTTATACAATGGATTAATTCTTCTTCTTCTTCCTACAGCAAAAATACAATGATTTTAGTTCTGGCTTCAAGATGTTTGACTCTTCTGCCTATGGTGGCAGTAATCTAATCTTCAGAGATGCCACAACAGAACTTCGATCTGTCTCTAACCAGACATATCAGGCCTGGCTTGGTGATGAATTTCTGCAAGCAATGACAGGAATAGACTGTGATCCTGACAGTAAGGATGATGTTGTTTCATATTAGCCAATGCATAGACTGCTTCCTAAATTTCAAATGTGCTTATGATTGATGACTTTTATGCTGGGAATAGCCAAAAGGTCTCTAAAAACAAACAAAAGCAATTTAGCCTGTTAAGATTTTTAGATTGTCTTGGTAATGAATTTACTTTGAATGCTTTACTCCTAAGGTTTTTCCATAAAATAAGTAATTATCATTTTCAGCTCATCATGATTTTAAGGGTATGAAGACACCGGGAATAGTATAAAGCAGAGAATTTTAATAACATAGGACATGGGGAAAATATCCTACTTGTTTCTTACTCCAGTTTTTCATCCTACAACCCTGGTCCTGAAACAAGGCTACTGGTGATGGTGTAACAGTCACTGCAGGCTCCTTGTTACCTCCCATAAGCTGTAATATGAAGTATCAATATCAACCAGTCTTTGATTGTGACAATATAGGTGTAGTTTAAATATATACTTGCTTGATAAGAACCACCTAGTGCTGGTAAATTTATCATATTAAGCACAGAAACACAGTCAGGTAATCTTCATTAGTAAAAGTATTTATGTATTTGTTTAGCTGTTAAAGTTAACCCCACTGCTCTTGCAGAGAATACAGTGATACACATCAAATTACACTGTGAACACATTTTGCATACATTTTTTAGAAATTATTTGACAATGACTTTTGTGCTGAGTACTGCTACTCTGTCACTCCTGTTGTGACTGCTGACAGGTTGAATGTTTGACAAAAGTCTGGTGTAATTAAACTAGTTAGGATTCTGTCTCCTACCTTAATATAATGTACAACATAATGCACACAGTGCTGGGTCAGGAGTATAATGTACAACAGGGCACATACAGTGCAGGGGTCAGAAGTGTAATGCACAACATAGTGTTTACAGTGTACATTTTAGTGAATGACGTGCAGGGGTCAGAAGTATAACACATGGTCCAGGAGTAAGGACTAATCGTACAATATAGAATATACAGTGCAGAGGCAGGAGAATGATGTGCAACAAAGCATATACAGTGCAGGAGTTAAGAGTATAACACACAATTAAAGCATATACAGAGCAGGATCAGGAGTATAATGTTCAACATGTGTATAGTATAGAGTATAATATATAAAAAAGTGTATACAGTACGTTAATGTACAGCATAGAATTTAGGAGTATAATTAACAACATAGACCAGGCCTTGAAATTTCCACTCGCCTGCTCGCCAGTGGTGAGTGGAAATTATGGTGGGGGCGAGTGTGTCCCCCAGGGCCATCTTGCTGAGCAGGCTCGGAGCTCAGGCTGGATCTGTCACTGGCACTGGGAACTGTCAGACTGCTTAATAGCTGAGCTCAGTGAAAGCAGAGGAAGGAGTGTGTGCTGTGCTCTCTGCCTCCCCCTAGAGTGCAGTACCTGGCTATGTGAGTGAACAACGAAGTACTGCAACTTTTTATAGGGATGTGAGTGTGTGTGTGTGCCTACCTAATTTCAGCTCACTCTGGTCACATGATCCTCTATGTCAGCCAGTGGTGGCTTCAGGGGAGAGGAGAGAGCACTTAACAGTGTGCGTGCATGCGTGTGTGTACATGTGTGTTTGTGTGAGTCTGTGTATGCATGTACATGTGTCTGTGTGTATGTACATGTGTGTATCTGTACATGTATCTGCGTGTATGTACATGTATGTGTACATGTGTCTGTGTGTGTGTGCATGTACATGTGTGTGTGTGTTTCTGTGTATGTATGTACATGTGTCTGTGTGTACATGTGTGTGTATGTATGTACATGTGTCTGTGTGTATGTACATGTGTCTGTGCGTATGTATTTCTGTGTATGTACATGTATCTGTGTGTATGTGTGTCTGTACGTGCCTGTGTGTGTATACATGTGTCTGTATGTGTGTGTACATGTGTCTCTGTGCGTGTGTGTACATGTTTCTGTATGTGTGTGTATGTACATGTCTGTGTGTGTGTACAGGTGTCTCTGTCTGTGTGTGTTTGTTGGTGGCGAGTAACTCTTAAGGCATGGCTAGTAGCTCAGGACTTGAAATTTTAAGCCCTGACATAGACTATACTGTATAGTGCAGGGTTATGATTATAATGTATAACATATACACTGCAGGATTCAGGCGTAACATAGCACACAGGGCAAACAGTGCAGAGGTCAGGAGTATAACATAAAACATAGCCTATACAGTTCAGGAGTATAAATGTCTATTTTGACTCCAATTGTAATAGTGACTATTTCTTCCTGGGACCTCTATGCCTGGCCTGATCATAGCAGAGACAATCACCCCAGTCTTCATCAATGGCATCTAAAATATCTTTATTGAATACAGAATTAATAACTCCCTACTATCCCTGATTTCTAGGGACTGTCCCTGATCTGGAACAAAGTCCCTCTGTCCCTCTTTCCTCCTCCTATGTCCCTTATTTTGGTCTGATGTATACAGCTGTACATAAAACACACTTTTTAACTTTCAAAAAAAGTGTTTCCCAGTGCTAATTTCTAAATTTCTGCCTTTGTAAATTTCAAAAGCCAGTAAAAAGGAAAAGTAGTTTTACAAAAAAAGCAAAAAGTGGGTTTAACTAATCATTTTTTTTTTTTTTTTTAAATCTTCTTTAAGGGGGCGTGGTGGGGGGGGGGGGGGGTCCTACGCCTATATACTTTTACTAATAGGTGTCCCTCATTCCCTCCTCAAAAAGTTGGGACGTATACAGAATGTTGCAGAACAGCAATACAGCAAGACCGGGTAGATTTAATATTCAAAGCGTTTTCTAGCCCCAGTGTGTGTCATGAGGAGGAGGATACAGAAACCCACACATGAGGAAGAGGAAATTACATCACAGAAAAGGAGAGAGAATACAGTTAATTACAAGTAATACCAACAATGGTAATAAGCAGACAGCATAATCAAAAATAATGAACTAAAGAACAGCATAGACTATAAATGTAAACAAGCAAATGCATTTTCCATATACTGTTGGGGGCAGCACAACATCCCACATACTGTATACAGTGCAGGGTTTAGGAGTATATAACATAGCATATGCAGCACAGGAGTTAGGAGTAAAAGGTACAACATAGCATACTGTATAGGGTGCAGGGGTCAGGAGTAATAGCGTGTACAGTGCAGGGGTATAATATATAAAATAACAATGCTGGGTTTAGGACTATAATGTACAACATAGAGTTCAGCAATATAATGTATGACATGATGTACACAGTGCAGAGGGAGGAGTATACAGTACAATATAGCATATACAGTACATTGAAGGGGTCAGTACTATAACATACAAAATAGTGTATAAAATTCAGATATCAGGAGTAAAAAGTCCCACTTAGCATATACAGTGCAGGGGTCATGAATATAACATACAACATAGTGTATACAGTGCAGGGTATGATGTACAACAGCACATTTTAGAGTTTCTGAGTATAATGCATAACATAGTGTATACAGTGCAGGAGTGAGGAGTATAATGTACAACAAAGTGTTAGCTATTTGGTTACTGTGCACAGCTGCTCCACATTCTGTCCATTCCAGTGTTAGTAAATTCCCCCAGTGTGCCTAAAAAAGCAGAATATCTGCTTTGCTCTCTTTGGAAAGCCAGTAATACTCTGGGAAACATTTTCAATTTCCCAGCACTTTCTATACTGGAAACAATTGTCACCAGAACAAAGACGGTGAATCTCGCTAGCAGGGACACAGAGCAATAACAATACATTCTGACAGGGGTATTAACACCCCCTCACTCTAGCCAAAACTTTGGAAGATATCTTTACATACATGTTGAATGTTTGTAAAACAAATAATGTGTGTGTGTATTTAAAATTGGTTTGGAAATGTATACATTTAAAGTGGTTATAAAGGTTTTTTTTAACTTAAAATAATAATATACCTACTCTTCTGGGGTCCCTGCTGGCACTCTTCGCTCCTCCTTTTCTTTGAGTGCCCCCATAGCAAGCTGCTTGCTATGAGGGTAAATCATGCAGGCTCGCTCCCCGAGCAGGGCTATGTGCATCCATAGACACACAGTGTGGCTTGACCCCACTCCCTCCTCACAGGATTTGATTAACACAGCAGCAGGAGCAAATTATACTTATTGCAGTCTCTGTATCTGAGAGCAAGAGGGAGAGAAGACAAGCGCTGCTATAGACGGATACAGCGCTGGATCAAAAGAGGATTCAGGTAAGTATTTTAAGGGGAAGGCTGGGGGAGCTGATCATTGAAGGTTTTTTTTACCTCAATGCAGAGATTGCATGAAATATAGGAAAAAACCTCATGCCTTTAGAACCACTGTAAAGTACATCTAAACTAAAAAGCAAAGTTTGACTATATCGCAGCTGACCAATCTTTAAATATAGTGACTGCGTTCATTTTCTTTTTTAACCTCCCTAGTGGTATGATTATTTCAGATTTTTGGTGCTGAAAGCAGTACCATTATTTTGCATGGAAATTTGGCGTTTTATATGGTAGGCCTTTTAGGCCTGTAATTTTTAGGAATAACTCACTGAAACCTGTTCAAACAAGAGTCTAGTGAACATTCCGGGTAGGATAAAACTTGAAACACGAAATCATAAATTATAATTTAATAAATAATCATAAAAAATAATAATAATATAATAATAATAAATTTAATTCAATAATATAATCAAATCAAAAACACTGAAATTTGAAATATAGCGCCAAGTTCACACATCACTGAGCAAAGTCGCAAAATCGTTTTCAGTATCTGATGACGAATTTCCCCACGAATCATTATCACTGAATTCTGCAAGTGGTTCTGATTTACTATCGCTGTTCTCTAGCTGGTCTAAAACTGCTTTTGACCTAAAGGGACGCTTTTTGGATGCCATGGACATTTCTCAGTGCCAAGGCAGAAAGAACAGTCAAAATGCAGGCAGGGCACAGGACAAAGGAGTAGGGACAAAATGTATGTGAAATGCTTTGATACAGTAATGTTTTACTATGTCATTTTCGTTTATTAGAAAATGACAGTTTCTAAAATTTTTTAATTTCCTGCCGGTTCCGGCCCCCGAACGTCCCGACGCTCGCAGGGACCGGAACACGGAAGCCGGATGCCGGCATCGGCCAGAGGAGATGGCCGGGGACGCTGCAGGGGACACATCGCGGGAGCGAAGGACAAGGTAAGCGCTGCAGGGAATCCCTCCGCCATGCTGAGTGTAGCTTGGGGTTACCGCTTTTGGTACTGAAACTTTACCCCGAGCTACACTCGGGAATACCGCCAGGGAGGTTAAGCTTTTTCCACCTGGCGATCTGGGCAGAAGTCAGATAACATTGACAGGGGTGCTTACAATGGTCAGATTTTTTTCATTTATGTAAAACCTTTGTCCCAAAAGTATTTTAAAAAATGTTACTGTTATTACTGCTGTTTGCTGGAATTCAGCTTTCAATTGTTAGTCAAGTCTAACCAAATTTGCATGAGCATCCAACACTAAACTCTGCACAGGTTGACCATGCTTCTGTCTAAGGGCTCGTTCACACTTAACTTTATTTCTAACTCTTGCCAAATGCCCCTAATGCCCCTATAGCGTTTGACAAGCGTTAGACAGGCGTTTAGGAAGCGTTTTTAATGCTCCTCAAACGCTCCCAAAATGCCCCATGCGCAGTTTTGAGGCAGTTGATAGGCGTGTGCCAAGAGTTAAAACCGCACCACAAACTCTTAGAATGAAGTTAAATGGTATTAACGCTCCGCAAATGCCTCGCAACCGCATTGAAACTGCACCACAAACGCCTGCCAGGCGTTTGCGGACCTGTACCATAGACTCGAATGGGAGGCTTCAACTCCTCCTGATTCGACCCGCGGCGTCAGTTTTGCCGTGACGCAACGCTAACGCTTCCATGTGACCAGCACTGTGCGTTGCCATGTGCAGAATTTTCATAGGCGTTTGAGAAGCGTTAAAAACACTTCCCAAAGGCCTCTCTGACGCCTGCTGACAAAGCTAGTGTGAACGTAGCCTCAGGAGGAGTTGAAGCCTCCCATTCAAGTCAAACGCTATAGGGACATTTGGCAAGATTTAGGGCTCGTTCACACTTGACTTTATTTCTAATTCTTGCCAAACGCCCCTATAGCGTTAGACAGGCATTTGTGAAGCGTTTTTAATGCTCCTCAAACGCTCCCAAAACGCCCCATGTGCGGTTTTGAGGCGGTTGATAGGCGTTTGCCAAGCGTTAAAACCGCACCACAAACTCTTATAATGAAATTAAATGGTATTAACGCTCTGCAACCGCCTCGCAACCGCACTGCAATCGCACCGCAAACGCCTGTCAGGCGTTTGTGGAGCGGTACCATATACTTGAATGGGAGGCTTCAACTCCTCCTGACTCGACCCGCGGCGTCAGTTTTTCCGCAACCCGATGCTAACGCTTCCGTGTGAACAGCACTGTGTGCTGCCATGTGCAGAATTTTCGTAGGCATTTGAGAAGCGTTAAAAATGCTTCCCAAAAGCCTGTCTGACGCCTGCTGACAAAGCTAGTGTGAACGTAGCCTAAGGCTGGCTCAATTGCTCCTTCATAGAGTGAAGCCACCCGAAGACAGGAAGTGAATTACTAGCCAGATCACCAGAATACTAATGCAGCCATCACAGTAATTGATTAGTAAACTGCAATATATTACATTGCTGGGTTTCAAAATAAATAAGACTATATATATAATAATAATAAATACATATAAGTAATAAAACTAATGTAACACAAGCAAGATGAAAAAAAATGTAAAATTCCTGATTGTTGTAATTTATAGTAGTATCTTTCAGAACTACCGAAAGTTTTGCGGTGGTGTAGCATAAGCTCAGAGGAGGTGTGGAAATGTGCAGATATGGCCAAGGCATTTAAAAACCAGACTCTATACCCATCAATCCAATGTGTCTCTGCTGAAAATCATGAAGAATGTATGAAAATGATTCAGGTTAGTATACTTTAGAATCATGCATATACATGAAGTTTGACTTGATGAAGGCTTTTCAATTGTATACATAAAAACA